CGGATGATTGCACAGATGTTTCAGTGAAATATTTTTACCTTACTCAATTGATATTTGTGTTGATTCGGATTCTAGCCCCATTACACACAAGACATGCTGTTCTAACAAAGATACTTCATGGTTTTACTCAGTACTTTAACGGGAAATCATAGATGCGGTCACAACTAAGACACAACAGCTTTAGCATTTGATTTGTGATCATCTAACCGCGATACGTCTACGCAGAATTAACTAAACACTGCCTCAACTGTTTCGAAGCTTTCTAGTGGGTGTTGGATTTCCTTGGTTGTAGCGAGGTTGGTGTTAAGTTGCGGTCGGCTGAAAAGCCCCTTCGTTTTCAAGGCTGAAACTTTGGAAATTCACCTTTAAAGTCGTGCTATGTAAGGACTAATATAATCACTTTATATTTGTTACCAATTCAACTGTTTTAATGTGGTATAATAAAAATTCTAAATTTGTTAATGTTATAGACTCTATATGATTTGAGATTTTTCACTGAGATTAATACGAAGATGTCTATCTTCTGGCTGCCTCTATCATCAGGGAGATGAAAGTATTTATCGCCCTGATGATGGAGGCAGTAAGGACATATGAAACAACTCAGAAGATAGCCGTGTTAGTTCAACATATACTTCATATAATACTTGTGGATATGCTAAATATCGTATAATATCGTAAGTTTCACAGTATCGTGTTGTTAAAAGTGTAGGCAGGTTGGAGGAGATAACGAGAAATCTATCTTGGTGATAAGCCACGTGTTTTGTCAAACGCTCAAGTATTGATCGAGTTCGTATATACAGTAATGTTGAAGGGGGGGGGGCCTTCGAACTGAAATTGGTATCTTAGCAACGAACTTCACCTGTGTCAACTAGTTCGTCGGTTTATTTACAGCGAAGGGTGTTTGAAGTGTTAAAAATGTGTGTTGCAAACCATTTCTCTGCGTAAATCAAGTCTTCTTGTTAGCGAGGCTGTCGCGAAATTTTTTTTTGGAAACAGTAATTTAATATTCTATCAGTAGGCTGAATGTGTTATGTCTGAAAATTGTGAATTGTAAATGTTTCCACGAATCGAATTAGCTTATTTCTCCTTCCAGGCTCCAAACTCACAATACGGAGTCAGTGATTTGTGTTTCCTGTTTCCTGAAGATGTTTCAAACTGTTCGCTCCAATTAGTTTACTCAAAGACGAGAATTTGTCTTTCTTGATAGGTTAATGCCACAGAGTCGTGTGTGACAATTACCTTACTGATTTCGTGTCGTTGTTTTGACTTCGTGAGATGTATCAATGATCTTGCTTTTACGAGTTAGTGTTTTCCAGTGGTTTATTTGTTACCTTTAGTATAAATCCTTTGTTTGGTCATCTGTTTGACTTAATGTATTTTAAGATTCACATGGGATTGGGTTTCTTGTCTTGGCATGTTTTCAAGATTTGCATATCTGAATTTTTATTTTAGAGGTTGGTTTAGTTTTGTCAATAATTATTCTTCTATAATATCTTTTTGTGGGGTGGAATTTAACTTTTCTGACTACGGGACAAAAATGTATTATTAAATTTACGTCAATTATTTCCAAAGTTTTCAGAATTGAGGAGTCACTAAACACAAGGAACGTATTAAATGTAATTTTTGTGATATTTTGTAGATGTTCATCGTTTTTAAACCCTGAATTCTCTTCTTTTGTTACACTTAGGAACAAACGGAAAACGTATGTCAGAAAATCCTATATTTGGCACCAATATTTCATAGTGAAGGAAAACCAAATCTAAATTTCTCCCTTCACAATGTTGTAAACGGGTTCGTAATACAATTTAAGAGCGTAGATTGATTAAAACTAACCTCTAAATTTTGTGTGTGATTATGAAGTATCTGGTTGTAAACTTAAATAAATCTTCTGGTCTTTTTAAATGTGTTACAACTAATTATGCCTATTAAATGACTTAGAAGGACTGGATAATAATTCTGGCAGATATTTGAACACCGGTATTCAAAGAAAGTCAGGTGATATTTATTTTATTATAAATGTCTTCTACAGGACGAGAAATGAGAGTTTATCTTCGAATCAATTACTTTTATATTTTTTAATTTTTCAGGATGTTAATACCCCTTGAGACCTTTTATATTTGGCTTAGTAACTGCGTTTTATATGTGACTGTGAAATTAATTAATTGGCTATATTAATCAAACCCAGTCGCCGACAGTTACTATAATGTCTTGCATCTTGAATCAGCTCAGTTCTCTTAAGCACACAACCTGATTACTTAAGAATTATTGTAATACTAAATCGAATATTTCTCCATCTTATTCAGCTTAATTACAGAAGATATCTTACCAACATTTTGTACATAATTATTTTCTTGTTTCCCCATGTAAACTAACTCGCAGATAAATTTAAGTTTATTTGTTAAAATATAATTAAGTTTTATATTTTTTTTTATAAATTTCGATACTAAATAGTTCTCTAACATTGCGTACGTGTAGGAGTAATATTACAGAATGCCCCTATTGTCAGATGGGACGCACGAAGAAGTTGGTAGCACTGCAGACATCGCGTCTACTCGAAATACTTTTGTTCCCTAATAATTTACTTAAATAAAGAGAGCTTGGCTGCCTACGTTTTTCTTGGAACACTCCTAGTGAGCAGAGAAACACACACCTACACATTAACAAACACACTCACAAAAATAAAACGCTGACCGGAAACATAAATCCCTTACTATTGGTAATTAATGACTTCCATTTCATATAAAAGGAAAGAGATTTAGGATTTGAGGTTTTCACGGCGTTGAGTCTGAAGATGGCTGTCTTCTGGGTTGTTTCGCCGAGTAGACTGGTACGAGTTTACCGACGTTTCAGAGGTCCTTGTTGCCTCCATCATCAGGGCGATGAGTCTTACTCAGGCATCTTCATTAAAGAGATGGCTGTCTTCTGGGTTGTTTCGCCGAGTAGACTGGTACGAGTTTACCGACGTTTCAGAGGTCCTTGTTTCCTCCATCATCACGGCGATGAGTCTTACTCAGACATCTTTATTAAAGAGATGGTTGTCTTCTGGGTTGTTTCGCCGAGTAGACTGGTACGAGTTTACCGACGTTTCAGACGTATTTCTGACTCATATTCAGGCACCTCTGAGACGTCGGTGAGGTGTTATCAGACTACACAGCGCTCTAATCCAGAACACAGCCATCATCAGGTCTCCACGTAGTTTACCAACAGACAAGTACAACACGAAGGAATCTGTTTTGTATATCCGTTCTTATTTTAATATAGAATTATTATATTTCTCCCCTGTAATAAACTAAGAAATTTTCTTTCGAATAATGCAAAGAATTACACATGTGAAAGAGGTTGTTACTCTGACGTAAAATACAAATAAATGTTTATCTGCGCTCCTAAGTCTTTGTATGTGTTTTGCGAACGCCGACATCGAGATGTTTGCAGCCCGTCCGGTTTTATACACCCTTAATCACCCCTTTACCCCCGGGTTGTATGCGTGTTTGTCGAAGGGGACGATCATAAAATATTCTATACGTTCTGTGTTACATCGGGCTTATTTCAAACAGAGTGCATGATGCTTTAAGAAGGAAATTTATTGCATGCATTAATTATTAAATCCAGCGACTGTTAAGAGCTGAAAGTTGTTCTGAATGTCTCTCTGATGTCTGTAAATGTGTATTTTAAACGGAGCGTATTAAGTTTAGATTGTGACTCAGGAATGATTTGGATGGTAGTAGATATAATCATTCAGTTTATAATTGATAAGAGTTGAACGCATGACTGTGTTCGGATACTGCAATTGAAAGAGACTGCCTAAGATACGTAGTCATAAATGGGATGATAATATTAAAATGTATCTTTTGGTACGGCGTGAACATCTGGACTTGATTCAGCTGGCTCAGAATATAGTATAGAGAATACGATGGTCTTCAGCTGGCTTAGAATATAGTATAGAGAATACGATGGTCAATATTGTGGTATTATAAAAGCAAGGAATTTGTTTACCAACTAAATTGCTATTAAACTGGTTGACACAGAATTAATTCTAGTACGAAGAAGGTTTACCTATACTATGCAATAGATATATTGAACTCATAGCTACTGCTAACAACTGATAATTACTAACAGTTGAAGTACTGAGTCCAAGTCATCGTTAAACACGAGCCTGCTCACAGGATTCTGCATATCTACTTCGGATTTAGAGTTCTTTTGTTTACGTCGGAAGACGTCTACGTAGTCTGTGCCGTTTCAAAAGTATTTTCGGCTGCTCTCAGCTGAAACCACCACAGATTTGAAGATTTCTGTCTTCTGGGTTGTTGCGCTGTGTAGTCTGGTCGATGTTAGAAGACAGAAATCTTCATACTCATCGCCCTGATGACGGAGGCAGTATGACCTCTGAAACGTTGGTTAACATCGACCAGACTACACAGCGCAACAACCCAGAAGACAGAAATCTTCATATTCACCGCTGTGAGAACCTCAAGTCTTACACCACAGATTTGTTCACTGGTTACTCAATTTCAAAAAAAAACCATTAGTTAATGTATGTTGCTACTGATTAACTTGTTACCTGATTTATCTGTTTGATTTAACTTACCTTTTAGTGCGTAGGAAATTTAAGACCATATTTGTGAGATTCTTATTCCTTGTACTAACTACATTTCTTGCTAGCTGACATCGCTAGTGGTGTAGACAGATGCATTCGGCACGGACTGGTCGGACGGTGCACGGAACGGAACGGCCAGGTAGCATTATAGAAAATTGCGCGGAGATGGGTGCGCAGTGATTGATAACATTGTTCTTCACTCCCGTGCAAAGAACTACCTGATACGGATACTGAGTAACCTTGATAATATAACCTAAATTGAGGTTAGAACTTGCACACGTTTGTATGTACAGTGGTGGTGTTTCCATGAATTCTTAGTGAAATACAAAGAGAGAGATTTGGGGATAAGTAATTATGAATTTTTTTGTATGGATAGCCATAACAGGAAATGTATTCGTGCTTTCAGGTCAAAGCTTGGGGTATGGATTCGTGAACTACCACCGACCAGAGGATGCAGAGAAAGCTATCAATACGCTGAACGGCCTCAGATTACAGAACAAGACGATAAAGGTAAGAAATTCCTCACAATATAACTAGCACAGAGAGATCAAAAAGTTTCGTAACCCATTCTTAACATGTGTCCTGTTTGTCCAAAAAACTATGTTACATTATAATCAGAGAACGAAAAAAAAATAAGGTTATGTTCGTGTTTAAAATATCCAGAGCGGTCGGACATGGTCCAAACGATCGTCACATAACACAGGAAGTCAAATGGGACTATTTATATCCTGCATTCTTTCTATATTGATTTGTTTACCACGAGAGAATCGGAAAATGTAACCTTTTACTCATTATGACAAGTAAGAATGAAATCTTACGTATTCAATGAACAGTCGTTGCAACTGTGAAAAAAAAAATGTCCTTGCACTTCGACTGTTTAAAAACAACTGACGGACCAGTGCGAACAGGTTACAACATGACGTCACCTGCGTGGGAACTCGTATAGTCACAGCGATATTGTGCGATATTAATCGAATTGTACTGAGTTTATAACCTTCAATAAGTATTTTAATGTGGGTTGCGTGATTTTTTTAGGTCACTCTATTAAGTGTACAGTTTAAAGGAGATTTTTTATGATAGTAGAATATAAATTGGGTACACGTGCAGACTTTACAACATAAGAAATTGGAACTAAAATTGCTACATCGTTATAACTTGGAAGGTTATAATTTAAGGACTTGTCTTTGTGATGTTACTATCAAAGCAAATACATGATTCCCCATTCAAAGTAAAGATGCATCGAATATAACGATATTTATGTTTAAAAATAAACGGAAATATTCCTTTTCAGTGTGTGTACACTGTAATTTCAATACTCTGTACTTTTTAAAGTATCCGTTTATAATAAATTCTAACCTAATTATTGCGTAGATTGGGAACAATCATATTTCGACTGAAAATTTGTTGACTTTTGTTTATTGTCGTACATAATAAATGTATGGTATGTACCCATAACAATAAAGGGGCGGTATATTTATATGTATAAAAGGCCAAATGGAATGTGTGGACGTTTAAATCTTAAAATAGCTTCGTCTGTTAAATAGAATATTTCTTTGATGTAAAAAAGCTATGGTATTTATAAAGCAGATGCCCTCTTTTCGAAGTACATGCATGGAGTCATTGATATTTTTAATAGTAATCGAATCCGTAATGGCAAACGATTTATATCCATTCAGTCGTGGGTTCGACACTCTCGCATTTCGTGTTTAATTTCAGATGAGGGGTCTATGGATCGAAGTCGACCAAGACTCGATCTATTTTCTTTGCGTTTAAAAGTTTCTGGATTAACGGCTCCAGTAAAGGAGTGAATTGTTTATTGTTATTCTAGCTAGAAAGTGTTTATATAGTCTAAATGACAATTTTAAAACTTTGAAGTTAACGAAACTTTGGCGGCAGTAGGATTCTTAACTCAGTTACTGTATAATACACGCAAATAACAACTTAAATAAGTTCGAATACTTGAATATTATACAAGCGCTGCTGAAATGCTTTGTAGTTACTTTTCCAACTTCGTGCCCTGTCATTTTAGTTGGTGACAAGTAACGTGAAGCTCATTTATTCACAAGGTTTTTGAATAAGGTGACGCAAGATGTAGATATTATCTAAGTTGACCGTCGTAAGTCTGTAAAATCATTTTTTTTAAGTGTCCGTGAAGTAGGGCTGGTAGCTCTAAGATTTAAAATTAATCAGGAACGCTAAACGTATGGCAGCTTAACTTAGCGATACGTGTGGTTTGAGTAATTGCAAAAGTTACTTTATAAAATTTTACTTAGGCATGCATCCAGTTAAGGATTCAGAAACATACAGGGGAACATAGACGTAGATAATATAATAAGAGATTTTATGGTTGTTATTCATGATTTAATTTTCATATCCTAGGCTTTTACTAATTTTATTAAGCGAAATTGAATTGTTTATTAATATTTAATCGTATATAATTGAGATCTCACGGTGGTCTAGCGGTTAGAACGCTGGACTTGTAATCCTGAGGGTCTCGGGTTCGATTCCCGGCGGTGCCCGAATTTATAACTTGTGTTGGGCAAGGCCGTGGTCTAGGCAACACGGAGTTTTCCTCCGTGGCATCCCAACAATTACTCCATTCACAAACAGAAGAAGGCAATGGCAAACCACTTCTGGATCATCCGCCAAGAACGTATATGAACAGGTCCCAATCCGAGAAAAGGATGGAAGGATCCTGTTCATACGGACCTGTCGTCAGACAGAACACTAAAAAAAAACCCAATACATGGCAGAAGGACAGACTTAAATTCATATTATCCACGAACTATGTTAAGTGAAGAAACATCAAGCAGTCCTACATATGAGGCAGTATATTCTATGGAAAATGCTAAATCTGTATGTTATATTTTTGGAAAGTGTTCTTTGATTTAACAGTTTAAAAATCTGCTAAACTAACAAAAGAAGGAAAAAATTATCAAAGAGATGCTTTTAGTCTTTGTACCCTATGATGAGACTTATTTGAAATAGTTTAAAGAATTTATCTCTTTTGACTCATCCGGGTGTTTCTGTAAAATGTTGTTCTATGTTACAAATTTAGTCGAAAGAATTCCTCGGTTTGTTTACACTTACAGACAGTCGAAGTTATTTTAGAGTGTGGCTTGAAATGCGATTTTCATGAGCTGTAAAGCTTGAATATATTAGTGTCTTATTGTTTTTGCACTAGAAACTTATTTATTCGGCCCCCATTTCTTGGACGTATTGTGCACTATTTCGTAAATAAAGTAGAACCTTAACTGTTGATCGCGTTCTGTGAGAGGCGAAATATTTCTTGACTAACTGAGGAGGTATTTTTAGCTTCTCAGAGAAGATTTTTTGCATAGATTTAATATTGACATCGATCTAACACGAAGAGGATGGATTGACTGGCTATTTAAAACTCGTAAAAAATGTGATTTGACTTAAAATCAACTGGGAGTTAGGTTAAGGTATTTGGAAAATTAATTAAACGTACTTAATTATTATTTTAGCTATTACGTCTTGGTATAATTATGTCAGTATGTTTTTTCCGAAAGTAAATTAGCTTCAACATAAGACGTAATTAGACACGTGACATTCTATAATTTAATTCCAGGCTTGTGTCAATGTCTGTGAAGCTTAATTGGCCTTAAAGCCAAGGTCTCTTAATATAGTTATTTTCTGTACCTTTTGCGAGTCTTAAATCGTCCTAAATTTCAGAAGGAATAAATAGTTTTTGTAAAAATTTTATTGAATATCTTTAACGATTTTCGAGTTCTTATGTTATTTGTGAACGGTGGGTTAAAAGGAAGTGTTTATAATTTGTTTGAAATGTCTGATATCCCGGAATTTGCTTAATTTGTTATTTTTATGAAATAAAATTTTGATAACCTACGTACGAATAGTCATTTTCGGGCCAAGACTTGAACCCATGATATCCCGATTAGGAAGCAGGTGTGTTAATCGTTGTAGATACTGATGACAAATATAATAATTTATATTTATTAGAATTACTGAAGTAGTAGTTGGATTCCCACATGTGTTTGTTCCTGGTATTTTTAGCAAAAGACTTATTCGACATTCATTATCTTTTCACAATTTGCTTGAATTCCTGTAAGATTGTTTAAACTTTGAAATTGAGGGCTAAAAAATAATTATCACTTCGAGCGAAAATGCAATTACGTGACGAAAGAGAAGACTGGGTTTTGTTTACTTTTTTCTGCGATGTTATTCGATAAAGACTGTTTCAGTAGTTATAAAAATACTGATTAAATGCTCTTGTTTGAACAGTAAATGGTGGTATAGCACGGAATCTTAGTTTCTCAAATTAAAAATTTTCTGTGAACACATGAATGCAGTTAATTGTTTGTAGTTTATGGTACCTTGTAGAAAGAATTTTTGGCTCCTAACGGTATTTTGTAAGGCAAAATTTTACAGTAGCTGAATTATTGAATTTACGAAAATTTAAAAAGAGACCTCGTTTAATAAATTATGCCAATGGGTAGTTGAATTACGAAACCGGATTTGTAGTGTAGTAGGATAGCTGAAGAAGGGCAGTGGACTCGAAATGTTCAGGAACAGGACCAAAAGCCAAGATTCATAGTGCCATCAACGTATCGAGCCGGAACACAATTTATTTCCAAAACATCCTGAAGTATCTGCTTTGTTGCTACATTCTCGTGAAGGGAAGTATACTTGTAATTCCCATTGAAATATTTTACGGAACATTATGATGACTTTAGCCTATATCAGACTCAGTTTTTGGCGACTTTGATTTTGAATATCGATAAATATCGCGTATTGTGGGGTTGTGTTGGGACAGTGTTTCTGTAAACAGCAGTGGAACTTAGTAAAATATGAATATAATTAAGAACACGTCTAAAAAATCAGACTTTTTGTTTAGTTAAGATATATAGATAAGACAGTCATTGTCTTTTGATTAATTACAGGACTAGTTTGATGTTTACCGAATTAAATTAACTCGTATACAACACAAATAATAAGAGTTAAAATAATATCTTGTCTTTATGCTGTTTTTATCCCTGTAAAGAATGAACATCGGTTAAATACGTCACTTTTACTAAAGCAGCAAGAATCAAGGGATGTTTAATTTACTCAACAAAATAGACAGCCAGTAAGATAAATTTGAAGCCGGAACAGGCATTAATGCCTAATCCCTGAGGATGATAATGATGAATAGACAGCCAAATATATTTTATTTTATTCACTGTATTTAAACACTCCGGATATTATTTTTCTGCTTCAAAACAGAAGTTATCTACTAAATATCATTGAATTGATTACATAGACTTAATTAAAATTCTTATTATAATCATCAAATATAATATCTGCTGTTCACATGAGTGATCATAACGCCTCAAGGCTTACAAGATTATATTAATTTTAAAATTTGGTGACAATGCTACAATGAAATAATGAACTTCAATCACCCACGAATTTTATTGATATATATATATATATATAGGTATCCAATATCAATCGTGCATTATTAAGAGTGCAAGTTCTTTGTTCTG